GTCCTGGGAAGGTGTAAATGCTGCACCACCGCCGGTCTGTATTATCGATTTTTTTTCTTGGGACACAGCCATTCGGACTTCTTTTTTTATTTTCGTAGGACTTCCGCAAAGATTCTTTACTGAGGAAGACTTTACTTGGTGACGAGGCGTTGAAATCGGCAGCGATCTTACTCCAGGTATTGTCTTTTTCTCTCCACGTGCACGAGCCGGTTTTCTTGTTTTTGATTATCCCTTTATAGTCTCGGCATATTGCTAATAACCGATATTTCTCCTAATTGGTATAATTGGGAGTGCGCATTCTTTTTGGTAATTTAGTATTTTCCGATTTCATTGGGTATTCCATTTAATTAAATTTTTTCGCACTGAAAACACACTACACAAATTTACACGCTTTCAATCGTCTTCAAAAGTAAAGTCCAACGATCGTTTTCTTGCAGACGTTTCTGTCAGAAGCTTTCAAATTAGGCTGGTACGAAAATAGGCAGGTAAGAAATCCCCTAAAATTATCAAAAATCCCTGAACTAGGTGGAACTTAGTTAAGCGGATGATAAAGTTGGACGGTGCAGCAGATTAGTTTTAAGTGTCGCTTAAGTATTTAAGTGACGCTTATGATGAAGACGGTGCAGTAACTAAGTAAGTAACCCTAAGTAACTTTTCAAATAGAAAATCTACTAAAAACGTGTATACCATCGCCATAAGCCGTACACCAATACACAAACCGTGCATAAACAAAGCAAACTTAAAAATTTTACGGTTAGTTCGAGCAGAAATTTTGGGTTTGGGTTTGGGTTGGGTTCCTTGGTAAGATGATTTTGCGATGACAATCGTAATATTTCTCACTTTTGCAACGATGCCAGTGTTTCCAGTTCCTTGAACTACGTTTTAATAGACGCAGTTTGTGAAACCTACCGAAGCACTGGTGAAAACGGTCCGTCGTTAAACGCGTTTAATTTCGGCATTTAACATAAACTTACCGCCGTATGCACCGCCAAGCTACCTAATCGCGATCAACCAAACGCGTTTAAAAGTTAATCCGGTTTAAAAATCCAGCTGGTATGCACCGTTGAAATTCAGCGGCAGATATGGCAACCGTGTTCTAGTGACTCGCATTATCAACTTTTGCGCGATGTTCCAATGAATGTGCCGCCGTTCGTGTTAAATATCGCTGTATAAGGGAAAAAACATAACCGCCATCGATTGCGGCTAGTTGCCAAAAATGATATGATATAATGATTTTTCTTCTAGGTAAAGACATATTAACGGTAAAAACCGTTATTAACTGTTGAGAAAATCAACCAATAAGGTATCACAATATTACTGGCGATTTTACTATATAAAAGCGATGTCCAGAATCTTGCAATTAAAGCAGTATATAAATCTTAGATACTGGGATATTCTAGAAGATGGCCAATTTCTTCTTGCAATCTTAAAACGACCGGCTTTGTTCAACGAAAGCGTCTATAAAACAATTTGTGCGGAGTCTTTGTCTCCTTGGAAAAAAAAAAGTAATTGTCTCCTTGGAAAACCATAATCAATTATTTCTAAAACATCAATATCATCGTCTAAAACCATTTCTTCTTCAAAGGTTATGTAATGTATTTAAACTAGTTTAAGAACTTAGTCGACGGTGCATACCATTTACGATTTTTAAACCGGTTTAAGGCTTAATCGCGATTAAACTCTGTCGGTGCATACAGGCCTTAGTTTCGTCAAACTGCATTTCGCTTGTTTCTGATGAAAATGGGCCTTAGGCTCACGTGACAGAATTCGTTTGCACCACTGTCACCTAGCGTTAAGGGGAACCGTAACAGGCAAATAATTTAAAGGGAAGATGAAGTGCGGCTTAACGGCCATTTGCACCAGTCTTCCTTAAAACTTATTCTTAGCTAGGGATAACTTTGGATTAAGGTTAACTCTAACTGCAGACAGTTTTGCACGGCTGTCAATTAAGTGATACTTAGCTAAGATAAAGTTTTACCTGGCAACATTGCTAAAAGTGACAAATTGGCTTTTGCTCCCGCCTTTTCTTTCCAAAATAACCTTTATCTTAGAACTGAATGCGAATTTGCGTAGTGGAACCTAAAGTCAGATTCCAGTCAGATTTGAAGACTAACCTCAAACAGAACTGTTATTGCATAATTTTACAGTTGCAGTATTTTGCTGTAAACATGCCCATTTGTCATTATCAACCGATAATAATTAGTATATTCGGTGTACTAAACCATTGTATGATGAATGTGTAATGATCTGTTATTTGATAATGATGACAGCGACCATGTGCGAGTTCCTAGACTAGTTTACGAGAGAACACATTATCTGATAATTTTGATGATGTTCTGTTTTTTCAACGTGTTCCGTGTCACAAAGTACACCGCACTTTTCAAACGAATCGAACCTCATCGAAGAGGAAGGTCTATTGTATCTATTTATATTGTACCGTGGATGGCCGAGTATTAACTCTTTCTTCTGCTTCCAACTTTTATTCACCTCGGTATAACTTTAAATACGGAACAGGAACAAACAAACTTCTAAATTAACGTCAACTTCACAAACAATAACAATAACAAACGCAAAACTCGGATTTCTAACTCGCGGGGTTTAACCTCTTCTGCACCCGGTCGCTGCCGTCAGTTCACTGACTCCCCTTATATAGTTTCCTCCAGGTAACCCAGAAGGTTCTCGAAATCTCCAGTCCAGGTGCGAAATTTCCCGCTTGTCAGTGTCATATTTGACAGTAAATGGGGCCTAAATGGGGCTCCCATTTACTGAAATACCATGAATTTCGATCCCCCCATTCCAAACGTGAGTACCCCAGGCCATTTCCGTTACAATATGTACCTCTCGTATATTTAAACGATATCTGTTAATTTCTGTTTATAGTCGATGGAGGATATAACATAAGGCCGTAATTATTAACTCCGTTACAACAGCCTGCAAATCGTGCAGAACAATTATTCAACGAGTCGCATATACGGATAAGAAATATAATTGAGCGGATATTTGGTATCTGGAAAAGAAGATTCCCAGTGTTTGCATACGGTTGTCGTCTAAAAATAGATACGGTCTTAATAATAAAATAATTGAGTAGAGAGCAAAATGAGGATCAGCCTGGATCAGCCACCTGATCGTGAAGATGTTGAACGCTTCATACATCTTATACAAGAAGATGAAGTACCTAACATAAGCGACATATATAACCGAAACAATATATTGTTGCAAGGAAATCAAACTAGGAGGGGCTTAACTGATCCTATTTTAGATTCATTGATAAATAGCGATGAATTGAATTGAAAGTAATGCTTTTGATAAAGAATCAAAATTATTAAATTAAAGTTCATTACTAAATTGAAATAACTTATGATGCATTACTAAAACAAATGGAAAATAGCATTATTTGCTTAAGTCTTTTTTAAGTATTCCAATTTTAACTTTTCCTACTGAAACTCGAACATGATTTTGTCCTGCTCTCTTTTGGCTAATATGTTTTGAAGCTCCTCTTCATAACATAGCATTGTTCGCTTCCAACTTGGAGTCTAAGGTGTTTCCTTATAGGAAAAATGTAGTCCGTTTTTTATTTTCAAATGACTCCATATTTAATAATATTTTATTAATTAATTACATTTGAGACGTAAACAGTAACGGGAAGCAGATAATTTTTTCTTAACCGTTCGCACCAGTCCTGGCTGATTGCGCTTGCACATATTTGGTTTTTAACCGCCTGGCCTTGCTCGAATAGCGACGCCTAACCTCAGAGAAAGTCGTGTGGCGAACTCTATGAGCCAATTCTCAAGTAGCAACTCCAGCCGAAATGCCAGCTATATCTCACCACATAACATATGCGCCGTTTCGGTTCAAATTCAACTTCTAATACCAATTACTGTATTAAACTTCTAAGCTAGCCCGGGACGAAACGCATGGTGCTTCAACGAGCGCCATAGTTGTTAACTTTTTTTAATTAATTGTTTCTGGTTAATATTTGTTTGTGTTTAAGATGCAATCTTATAAGAGAAAAAATGTTATGCTGCATATTTTTCTGATTTTTTACAGCCATATACATAAAGTGAAGGTCATAGACAACATTTAAATATATCTGTTCATTATTTTAGAATGCAGAAAACAATAAAAAACAAACAAGATCCATGACTATTAAAACTCCAAGAATCCAAATTTTTACTGCGGGAACTAATTGCATATATCACTAACGATGAAATTAACATGAATTTCAGCAACAGCCACTGAACTAAAACCGTGCTAGAATCCACAAGAATCCGTGTTTTTCTGAGGTTATAATTTCGTACGCAATTGAAACATCAAACCGGCAACGCGGCAGAGAGACGCTCGCAAGCGCAATCAGCCAGGACCTTTGAATATAAAACTAAGCTAGTTTTATATTCAAAACTAGTTAGTTTTATATTCAAAGGCTAGGACTGGTGCGGACGGTTAAGAAAAAAATATCTGCTAACGGGAAACTCGCATTCAGTTATAAGATAAAGGTTATTTTGGATAGAAAAGGCGGGAGCAAAAGCCAATTTGTCACTTTTACGGCCATTTGCACCAGTCTTCTAGGGATGACACGAAATACTTGTCACAGGTATTTTGGAACAGATATCGATATGGAACAGTCGGTACCTGTGACCGATATTTAAAATAACATGTGATTTGAAATAACAGGGCTCGCCTACGATGCTGCTCAGTATCAGTCAACATCTGGAATTTCGATTTCAACAAAGCAAAAAGGCAAATACCTGCCTTCCTGCCTTTGTGCCTTTTGATTCCCCGCGGCGTTGTCAATTGGCCTGAGTTTTAGTGAAAGGAGATATTTTATGCTCGTCAAGTGGTAAGGTTTTGTATGTATGACAGTGGGACGTGCACCATGATTCGGCAAATAGCAATATTCAATGAACAGAAAATGTCGGGAACAGCAGTAACAGCCGTCTCCGATATTTTCTTTAATGTGACCAGGTCTGTGAGTCACAGGCTGTGACTCACAGCCTGACTGACTTCTAAATACATTTTTCTTGAGACTTGAGAGATTTCTCTGAGGCTGTATTTTACTCGTAAAGAGTTATACTACAACGTACAGTAAATGAAAATGTTATTACTGACCCACCAAAAAAAGTTATGGTGCCATTTTCTTGAAACAAAACTAAATTAATTATTGAAAATTAACAAAACGCTGCAATCGACGTTTTTTTTTAGATTTTTGAGTAAACTAATGAACGGATTTTAATGTAGTTTATCTGATATCATAGATATTTTTAATACTTGAAAAAAAAGGATAAAACTTTTTTCAATAGCATCAACGGTTCAACAATTATGCACAAAAAACGGGCTTTCGCACTTTCTTTAGTTATTTATAAAGAATTGTTTATAAACAATGTTCCACAGCCGGAAATCGAGCAGAAACTATAGTCTTAATATTCTGACATCCTTCCGAACAACTTCCAATAACCTTTTACCATCATATTTTCAGTGCCCGAAACAGGCCTTTGAACAGGAAAAGGAAATATGCTCATATCAGTTGGAGATTTTGTAGGAGTAAGCAAAACATCTGCCTGTTCAATTGTGAGTCAAGTTTCAGAGGCTATTGCTTGGTTGCGTCCGAGGAATATAAGATTTTCCGATAATATTACCACCAGACAAAAAGCGAAAGAAATTTTTTATAGAGTTGCCAGATTTCCACTGGTAATTGGTGCGATTGACTGCGCGCATGTGAAAATCCAGTCTCCTGGAGGAGAAGACGCTGAGCGGTTCCGTAATAGAAAATGATACTTTTCATGGAATGTTCAGACAATTTGCGATGCGCAATTGAAAATAATTGAAATAGTGGCAAGGTGCCGGTGCAAGTGGCCGGGTTCATGCCATGACCAAACTATTTTCAATAACAGCAGAATCAAGAGCAGATTTTCCAAAGGTGAATTCCCAAATTGTGTTATTTTGGGTGACAGTGGCTATGGAAACACTAACTATTTACTTACACCACTGTCAGATCCTTTCACAGCTCCTGAAAAACTA